TTTTAAGTTAATATAGTGTTTTTATTAATGGAGTCTGGGGGCTTTGACGAGAGCGAATTAGTGACTGTTTCTTACTCTTTAAAATAGCCTATCTATATTATGTTTCCATAATGTTGTACTTATAATAACCATCTGAACCTGTCAATGGAAAAACAAGCACTTAAGTGGACGTACTTTGACAGGGCGCAATTACCCGCAAGGATTAGTTGCAGCCCAGTTTTGATGCTCACTCAATACTGGACCAATTTTAAAAAGAATTGTCCCAATTAGTCACATGTACACAAAACATGGGAAAGTAAGGTCCAGGTTGAAAAAATACAAAAAAAAATTAATAAAATTACCCTTAAAGAACTTTGTAAAAGTATTTGCCATAAGACATATGAGGGCCATAATGGCAGAGTGGAATCAGAGTGGAATCCTGTGTTTCAATGCTGTGCAAGGTATTCAGATGAGAGGAGAAACAAACGGGCCAGATCTGAACCGTGGACAATGTGATTGCTGTGAGATAGGCAGTGTCTGCAGCATAGCAGAGGAGATAAGGTGAGGAGAGCGATCTCACCAGAGGCGAGTGGTTTGCACTGAACTCAGCTGAAAGTGAATGGCTGATCTGTGTTTCCACACGCATGCACCTTGTTTAAAACCCCTGGTTCTTCGTCTTCAAAGGCTTTTCAAACTCAAGAACCACAAAGGAGCCTTTTGAAGCAATATCTCCTGCTGTTTCAATGGGACGGCTGAACGCCAAAAAAAAAAATCCCTCTAAACTTAACAGATCCACCCGCAGCCCCCTGATTCACAGATGTTTAATTAAAACCGGACCTGTCGTTTTCCTGGGGAAATGTTGTTAACACTTCATTTATTTGATACTTGTTTTTATTTGTAGATGCAAACAACATATCAATTTGACTTCAGTGGGTCTCCTACTTTTTTGCATAGCCACACATCCAGGTGAAAGAATAATGTAAAATATTGAATATCCAAACCTTGCTCAGTTTAAAATAACTGTCCTATATAAGCACTTGACTAGAAAGTTAGGTTATAAATTCCTTAAAAAATTGGTGACACAATTATTAGGATTGTATGCCATAGAATAATATGTTGATATCTATCACAACCAAAGCTGGATCATGAATTTGTTTTGCTAGCAAGCACGGGAAACCTACTATGCACCAGTGGCACACTGACTGATTCTAATTATGAAAAGAGATAACTAAATGACCTGCCATCTTCTGTACATCCTGGAATATAGACATGATTGCTACACAACAGCAAACATATTTGATTGGTGCAGTGAACCAGATTAAATCCACAATCATTTGGGGGAATACATGTGACAAGAGGTTCAGGGGAAGGCAATTGATAAGGGGATTACTTGACAACTGCTTTTTGGTGGGACGATTATCCATTCTGAGTCAAAGGGATTTGAAGATAAGGCAGCTCTCTATTCTGGTCGGCACAAACACACAAACATGCTGTGTCTAAATGCACAGGCCTTCTCCTGATATTGCTGAGGAGAGCAGAGATCTCTCAGCAGGGCCTATATTGAAATCTTAGTGGAGCGGCGTGCCTGCTGCAGTGAGGCTCACACCTCTGGGAATTATCCCGACAAACTTGTAGTCGAGAAAAAGGGTAGTTACTGTCAAAGAATGTTTTGATTTGACTTATAATTACATTCAGTGAGGAACAAAGCTATCTGGAGTGCTTAATATATCAAATCCAAAGTTTTAATAAATGAATTCCCCATTAAAGTTGAACATAAGATAATGAATTACATTTATATAGCGCTTTATCATAGATACTCAAAGTGCTTCACAGTGAAGTAGGGGGAACTCACCTCAACCACCACCAATGTGTAGCACCCACCTGGGTGATGCACGGCAGCCATTTAGCACCAGAACGCTCACCACACATCAGATGTTAACAAGAACCAGAAAATGGAGACAATCTTTGATAAAAACATATTTAAACAGCAAAAGGTACTTCAATTGTGCCAGCTTCTATTTTCCAGTGCCCTCTTTGTATAAAACCAAATTAGCAGAAGTATGGGACATATCAAGTCTTGTGTTGTTGTCACCATAAGTTTAATAGCACCTTTTCTTTTGCTGTGTAGAAGAATGTCTACACGAATCACAATGTCACCAAGTTCCATGAGTGGGTTCGAAATGTAAACCATATCAAATTACAAAGCCAAGCAGGAGTCAAAGATTCAGAGAATACATTTGTAGAGTAACAGGCTATAGTTCAGTAGCTTTATGGGGATGCAGGCAAACAACACAAAAACACGGATTAAGGGCGGGAAGAAAGCCTAATAGTGGTAGATTATAATGGCATTACTACCTGGTGAGACACAAGTACACACAGCAGGCTTGAGGTGTCTGTGGGATGATGAGACTGACACTCAACGACTGAGTCACACAGAAGCTGAGCAGAGGGGCGAGGATCATAAAGACTGCTGTGAGGAGAAAAGAGCTCTGCTCCAGTGAGTCATCCTCCACTGGTTTAGACCTTTGTCAATCAGACCTTTCAGTGGCTACAGTTTGTATCTATAGTGGAAGTATATATGGTGTTTGTACTCATCATTATAAGCCAAATAGTCTATAATGAGGGAAATTTCCATTAGGTTTCTGTGAAGAGACCTGCAATTGTGTTTTAATGGCCCACCAACACTTCAGCTTTAATATGATTAAGAGAACAGTATGATTAAGACATGGGTCACAAGAACACATTAATCTTATTATATTTATGTTAAGGTCATATGGAGATGATTAATACTGCAATTAGGACACTACGAGTCACATTGTTGGAGGCTTATTTAGATACCATAATCCAGGAAAAATTGTTCTACGGTGATTTACAGGTAACAACATTTGCCGATTATGCTTAGAATAATAAACAGAATAATAAATAAATAGAAAGAAAGATTTTTCACAGACACTAAGATGGTTGCATCCAGTCACCATGAAAGGAGTCTCAATTTCGGTTGCGAGAAAACATCTATAAAACAATGTGAAGATTCTTGGTGGTATGAAAACTGAAGCGCAAAATAAGCCTCATGTCTTATACAATTCCAAATCAATTAAATAACATGTTTAGGGATTTAATGCAGGTATAGCGTCTAATTTTTACTTTTACCTGCAACAGTGTACAAAGAGATCAATACCGCGCCCATATGTCTGCTCAATATGAAGCTACAGCCAGCAGCTGGTTAGGTTCTGTTCAGAGGTTGCAGTCACTGCACCCAGCCAAGAAAAAGTCCAGCACATAATTAATTGTATATAGTTTGTATACAGTGTGTATATATTTATACGTCTACGTAAAATGTACCTGATTCTACTTTTACTGTATTTTGTTCTTTTACATTTCTCTGCACTGCTGTGCCAACCTGCATTTTCACAGGGGATTAATAAAGGTATATCTTATCTTATAATGCCTTGTAAAAATGTTGTTTTTACACTTTTTGCACAGATTAAACAAATTAGATAAAAAGTAGATGATGTAGGTGATGACCTGATACTGTTTCATTGAACATAGCTAGGCTAGTTATTTCCCCCCCTGTTCAGTCTTTATGCTTAGCTAAGCTAACCAGTTGGCTATAGCTTCATATTTAGCTGACAGATATGAAAGTGGTATCGATCTTCTCATCTATTGCTTAACAAGAAATTTTTATTTAAAGTATATTTCCTGAAATGTCAAACTACTGCAACTAACACAGCTAAGAGAAATTATATTTACTCAGACATCAGCAGCATTAAATTGTTTAGTATGCCTGATGCTGACCTAACTCATCCCAGAAGCAGCATGGTGGTCTCATATACCTAGTTCATTCTGCCAAGCTTTCCCATCGAAGTCAATTTCACAGCCCAGCTGTAGTGAGTTTCTTTCCCTTTCGTCTCTTTCAAACTCAATTTCAAAGAGTTCTCGGAGACAGCAGTGGCCTCAGCGTTGGTCGATCACATTTTCTCATTAATTTAAAGGCACCGTAGATGCCTTCCGATTACGACATGAATAATAAATATGTCTGTTAGTCATCTTGTAGAGGGAGAAGCACTGTTTAATTCACTGTCTATCCATGTGTATTTGGGAAACTGCTTCTCTATGGTTAAATAACTAAACTACCTCAGACACATGACATTGTTGTTCCAGACTTAATAAACAACCAGTCAGGTTGTGTTACAATGGGATGCTCCAGTGGACTTTAGTTAGAGTACAGATTTTTTGTATGATATGTGATCTGTTGGTACACTTTCTGGTATGAGATTAAGTGACACCCTCGATTTCTCAGAGCAATAACACCTGTATCAGTTTCTCGGATCAAAAGCCCCGATGTGCCTGGAGCTCCAATATTCAAAGTAATTACATATTATCACAATTTGGTGTTAAAAAAAAAATTTGACAAAATTAAATGAGTGAGACAGATGAATTTACATTCTTATCTATTCTATCAGTGTGTTGCAGGCATAGGTGTACGGGGTCAATGTGTATCAATTTATGAGTTACAAAATACAAAGATCACAGATCTCTGGCACATCAACTAATTGCCATTCAGTCTTCCTGATTATCACAGCATTAATGCTACATATCAAGCCACCATAAATAATTCAAGAGGCTGTCTACCTCAACAAAGGACTTCCTTCTGGTCTCATATCCAGTTTGTGCAACATGTGCTGCTCTTCTGCATGATGATTGTAAAGGTGTTATGTCTCCACCTAAAGGTAACCTGAGGAACTGGATGAGAGCCCCATTCGTGTGTGAGTCCCACATGACAAATGTTGAACTGATAGGCAGGATAATCATATAAACACTCTGAGCAGCATTTTAATCAGACCCTATTACAGATCTCTGTCATTTTAAATGATACATTAGGTGCAAGTGGATGTGATTATGCTTGTGAAATTAGTGGAATTCAAGGGGGACACCGTATGCATCCAATCCCACCCTCATATCTATATAGCTTTTAATCAAAAAAATATTACATTATGAACAAATCAACATTAAGTCAGGTGTATATTATGCATTACAAGTAAAGTTTTATTATTCAACTAGAACAATACATTTACATAATCCCAAGACAAATGTACAATAACTTGTGCACCTAACTTTTGTGGCTACAAATATAAAATACAGGGCATAGGGGGGAAATTACATGAATTCAGAAAGTTTTTCCTTCACTTTCTCTTCTATGTTTGCATAGTATTTCATTTGGGCAAGTAGTGCTTTGGCAGCTTGAAGCTCTCCTGATTAAAAAAAAGAGTGCAAAAGGAAGTTCAATCAATGACTCACTCAGTAACTTGAATGAAAGCTTCAACATAGATCATAAAACAAACAAAGGAATGAGTGGGAGCAACAGAAAACGCTCCAATGCAAAGTCTGAATATAATACCTTTAAGAAGGGCAGCGTCTATCTCCTTTGTCAAGTCTGCCAGTTTCCCTGCAAATGAGAAGGACGCAAGTTCCAGATCTGCACGTGTTAACGACTCACGGCACATATGGTGCTTTTTATTCCTACAAACTCAAAGGCACATTCGCTGCTGAGAGTAACTGCATGATTTGAGATTAAACAGACCACATTAGAACATATTGTGTTAACACAGTTTGATGTGTGCACTACACAGTACATGGATAATTTTAGTTTACAAAATGGGACACAAATTGAACAGCCTGTGTAGGCATAGATAAATCCCTCATGTATGCATCATTCATTGGTCTGAAGTTTTCAACCTTGTGCATATCAGTGGTAGGTGACTATGCCCATTCTGTAAGTCAGTAATTTCATGAAATAAAATCCAATGTGTGGCAATATTTATGATCCACATTATTTTTGCATTAGCCATTACATTCTTTGATTACTTTTCTATATAGTAGTTTTCATCATTAGGGGCAGAGTCTGCCCTTCCCACCCCGGATTCAAACAGCCTACATATACACATCTACAACATGAGCTTTTTTGGTTTCGCTATAAACAGATACACCTGTTGCTCTTCTGTTCTTTTTCTGACAAAGTAGCTGCTGCGGGAGTGTTGGCTGTAGTATTAAACCATGGTAACCAGCGGCGCCGCCAAACCAACCAGAACTGAAATCCGAAGGATTACTACTTCAGCCCTTAAAACAAAATCATATCTCAGCCAACAACTAGTTCAGCCAAAAAGTGATTTTTGTTTCATTTTAATAATTTCTTCTAGGCCTGGAAAGGTAAAGCTATTCATAAAAACAAGCAAACATCTGAAAAAGCTACACCAATTAACTGGGTACATTTACTCCTCCACCTGTGCCCATTTATGATCAACAATCAACTCGAATTGCCCAGCCAGGCATTGCTGTTTACCTTTTGTGTCGTGGCCAATCTTATTGGCTTCTTCTGGAGTCTGTGCTTCATCAAGGGCTTCATTGATCTCCATCAGCTCCATTAGAAACTTGGAATCAGCCCCGGAGTCGGTTCCCTCTTCTATACATATCCCCTGCATCTCTAGCTGAAACACAGGATGGGAGTGAATCAAACTCAACTGCTCTTTTAAATGCAAGTCACTACTCATGACTGTCAGACGGTGAAGATGTTCCTCTAGAACGAGCAATCAGACAGACAGAGCTTACAGTTATGAAAATAAACTATTCATTAGAAGTTTCTAACTCACCATATAAACGCCACGACTCAAAGGCTTAAGCAGAGTCTTATATGCTTTGTTCACAACAGCCGACTGGCCTTCTGAATACTCCTGTTCTTTCTGCAAAAGAGGGTTCTGTTAAGTTTGCTTCTAATGATGGCAAGTTCAGTCCATAATCATTCATTAAAACTGGGAAAGAAAAGCTGTATTATTGTGATTTCTAACTAGCATGCTGTGCATTTGGAACAAAAAATATTCCCATCATGTCAAACTGTCACAAAAGGGAATAACATCTGAGCTATTTTACACCTTGCCATCCCAATCTATACCACTGTCTATTTCGTAAACACAAATTCCTTGGTGATGCTGACAATTAGGTGTATGACATACAGGTACTGTTTTGTAGTCGTGCAGTTTGGGACCCTTTAAGGGATGCAGGTGTAAGTTTGACACGACAGATGTGTGGAAACAAGACGGGGAGGAAAATATGTTGGAAATGGTTGGCAGATCCAAGTACATTTTGCAGCTATCAGGTCTGTCAGCTCTGGTGAAAATCAATAGTCTCAAGCTCTGGCCCATGGGCCCATCTCGTGGAGCTGTTTCTGTAATAAAAACCAGTGCAGTAGGTGGCTGCCTTGTAGCCTTGTATAAGTAATGAGTTTTCTATATATGATGAAGACCCCTGAGGCTGGAAGATGTCTAATTAAGAAAAAATGGCCAGAGGTGCTGATAAATAAAACAGAGTCAGTAGAATATTGGACAGGTTGTGTGTGAAGAAACCATTTAGGCTACCCCTCCTCTCTTACGTTCTGCTGAATATGAGTTTAGCTTAATATCATGACAACATTCTGCATTGTGCTTTTCCACCTCAGTGTACAGAATAAATTAAGTGCAACACACCACTGCTCCTCCTTGTACTCACAATGCTTATTCTTCTAAACTGCCATGCCGTTTTTTTAATGATCCACGAGAGGGAAACTGGATAATGTGAAAATTCTGTCATTTGTATACCACTTTGTAAAATAACCTATAAACACATGCCACTTTGAACAGCTTAGGTGCACTGGGACATGTCTTCTTTCTTTCTGTAACATTTTTAAAGCTTCACTAGTCGAGGTTTTATATCAAGTACAGGCTAACCTGTCATCAGCCTAACTGGCTTTGGGCTGAATGTGATTTACAAGTTCATCAAATCTATTTTTCCATGCAAAAATTAAGGTGCTAAAAAGTACAATGGTCTACATATATGAAGTGATAAATTAAAAGGGAAGCAAAAGAAAACAAAATTAAATTGTTAATCCCCAAAATGTGTTATAAAGAAACAACTTCCTGTAAGTTGCCACAAAACTGTAAGTGATCTCCAAATCAGTCTGTCAGATTAACACAAAACTTGGTCCAGTAGTTTCCCAAGCCCCACTGAGGCTGTGTGCAAAACATAGCACCTTTAGTTGGTGTTTTTGTTGCCAAAAGTCATGAAATATGTGAAGCTCCTCCTAGGACGAGAGTCCGATCTGCATGAAACTTTGCACTAATTATAAAGTGTATTTCCTAAACAGCAGTGAGTGCTCCATACAAAGACAAGGGAACAAACCAAAATTAGATCTCTTTCCTGTCTTTTCCCTTTAGCCTTTCAGTTTAAACAATCACCCTGAATTTCCTGTGTCCACTTTATTAATGAAATTCTATATATTTTCTTTAAAGGGTACTCACAGCAGCAGAGGCTGAGATATGCACACTTTTAGTCCCTAGCATGAGTCAAAAGTGCCAAAACACTGCATCAAACATTTCCCATAATGCAATGTGATAGCACCTTTCATTAGACCCTCCTTGCTAGGGAAACACCCATGAATTTAAACTCCACTCCCCAGTTTGTAACAGGTTTTCTGTGATAAATTTGCAGACTTGTAGCCCAAGCTAAAATAACCCTGATTACATCCCAATTACATAATCGTGGTTGACTTGATGAACTCCTCCAGAGCCATAGAAGACATTATACAACTGTTTTTGCAGTTCTGAAGTATCCCTTTAAAATTACAGTTCAGTTAACAGTCGCCTCTTTCTGTCAGCTGGAGTCACTAAAATGCAAAATTGCTCAAGCCAGTTGATTTTTATTGGCAAAATATAAGATTATATTATAGGGCTCCACGATTAATCTAATTGTCAATTGCAATCGCGATGTCATTATGTGCAATTACATAACAGTAAAAAGTGTGTGATTTAATAAAACAAAATAAGCGTGTGTGAGCTCTCTCCTCTGTGCGCTGCAGTCTGCTCATTATCTCCGCCCACACCGGGCTCTTGCATGTGGCCCTAAAAATAGATAAGCCTACCTGCAATGAGGAAGGTGATTTATGAGCAGTGTGCCAGTAACTTTTAAGACAACAACCTACAGTAACCCCCAGCCCCTCGGCTAATCGTCAAAACATAGTCAGACTCGCCACCGGAGCAACGAGAGAAATCCTCTGTGACAGAGACAGAGAGACGTCGTCTGCAGCTGAAGCGGCCAGACAGAAGAAAACTGGGAGAAGATAAAGAAGGTTGGGGTTTGGCTCGCTGGCCACTTAACGTTAGCTGTATCGGTGCCTTTTGTTGTTCAACATCTTCAACGTTTCATAAAGCCGAAGTTTCACTTTTTGTTAACTGACCAATCACAGCCTGAATGGGGCGGGACATTAAAAAAGTTTGACATGCTACAGCAAATCATTAAATGTTGAACAATATGATTATGGACAAGTTAGTACTTAGCATTAACAAATTAGACACCAATGTAGAGCATTTTGCTTGCACAAGGATTTAATGAATAAAAACAACCCACAGAAATGAACTAGTGGTAAAAAAGTATAGCCTACTATTATATGAAATTCTAATGAATGTAGTATTTAATATATTATTATTATACAAACAGTAAACTATTAACTAAACATTATAGTCTTTATTTAATACACTCATGTATACTAGTTCCTCCTCCAGGTGGTGGATAGAGTCTCATACAGATGTAGATTTAGCCAGAGCCAGTGTGCCAATATTTGCTGCTTCTGGCCGCCTCTTCCTTAGAACAACTTGTTCCCCTTGTTCTTTATTGTTATAAATATTGTTTATCGTTTAACTTTGTTCAAGTTAAAAAATACACATTTCAAAATGTCATTATTGCGCGCATTCCTTGATAATTAAGCAAGCAGACTCATAGTATAATTTGTTCCATTATATCGAATCGCATTCGCAATATTGTCCTCAATAATCACAGTATGACTTTTTCTTCAAATTGTGCAGCCCTAATTATATACAGGGCAAGAACTAACACACTGAGACAAGTGCAGCTCACAAATATCCACTGTGTATTTGATGTGAGCTGAAACTAGTTACTAACAGATAACGACACCTATTACGACAATCGTTTCAGTCATTTTTTAAGGAAACCGCCAAACGTTGTTGGTTCCAGCTTCTAGGATGTAAAGATTTGATATTTTCTTTGTCAGGATAGTGAGTTTGAATATGCATTTTAATTTTTTCCTTACCTTTTATAAATAAAATCATTAATCGAGTAATCAAGAAAATAGAGGGGGCATTAATCAGTGTTAAAGACAGACATTAGTTCTGCCCTATATTTAATTTAAATAATTATTGCCAGTTGTTTTGGGATACAATTTACGCTTCTTGCTTTTCCTCCTCTGCCCAGATATGCTTTGAAGTCATATTTTGACTTTCAGCTTCAACTGCACAGCGTATTTAGACATGTAAGCCAGTATTTCTTCCTTAAAAACTCTTCAAGTAAACTGAGCTGTTAATACCACAGATCCACTCTAGCAGGAGTTATGAAATATTAATAGAAAGGCTAAAACAAGAAATTCCCCGAACACAGCAACAACAGTCAGGTGCTGGTGGTTTGCATGATTTGGCAATGAAAAAAATCAAAGATCAAAAACAAGCAAAACAAATAGAAAGGTCTTCACATATGTCAGACAATTGAGTTTTCGTTCAATTTTAACTTTCACTTATTTAAACTTTGCTGAACTTGTAATGACGTTCACATAAAGCTTCAACAATGATCAATCAACTGTCAACTATTAAATCAATTGTCAGCTGTTCAGTTAATTGGTTATATGTAATTTTTTAAGAAAGAAAGTAAAAATTCTTCTTAAATGTGAATAAATTCAGGATCTTACTGTGAGTATTTTCTTTTTAAGTTTACAATGTATGGTATTTTGTAATAGATTTTTTTCAGAGCAGAAATCTTAACAAGTCAGAGCAGAAAAAGCGGTGTAATTAATAGTATAATAGTACTGCGCATGCTGACTTACTGGAATCGCCTCCTGGGATACCTAATGGAACTGAGCCATTATTGTTATTAGACACACCTATGCTAAAATATCATTACTTGCACTATAAAAGTTCTCTTGTCTTTCCTCCTGTCTTTATTATTATGTAGCTGTTCATGCCTTGCCTTGACCTTGTTTGCTTGGCAGCTTAATATAGGGAAAGCTGCATTAGGAAGACCTACATTGTTAGGATTTGTGTTTTAACAAAGCCATTTTTCAACTTTGCCCCGAGTTATTCCCTTGGCCAACTCACAACGAATCATACTAACAAAACAAAAATGCACAGTCAAGTGGCATAATAGGGACACAGGGTCAAACACAATTTCCAGTGCCACACTTGTACTAATAGATAGGACAGTCTCTCAGCTGACTCATAAACCATGTTACTCAACTGATCTCTATTCAGATTCCCCTTACATACCCCTGCCTACCACAGATCTCTGGCTGAAGTTGTCTGGATGTAGAGACCGCTGAAGCTGCAAGTATCTTTTCTGCAGCTTTTGTGTGTCCAGCGTGAATGTGTAGTCACTGAAAAGAGGCAACACATGGTAACATGAAATGTTTTGGTCACAAAGTGACTTAAATAAATACCTGGATAGCGAGTAAAGGCACATGAGACCAGACACTCACCAGTCCATAATTTTAAAGTAGGATGCCCCTTCTTCAGGGGGCTGGATTACTTTGCATGACATGCAGAAAAATACAGGTGTTTTGTCAAGACGCTGTTTGCAATTCCAGCAGTTCAGTTTGACTTGACCTGTACAGTAATTCCTGGGTAAACTGACCGGATTAGTGCAGGAAATTAGCTTTTCTTCTTTTCCCAGTGTTTTGAAGTTTGTGTTGTTGTGCCATGTGTCCTTCGTGGAGAAGCCGGTTGACAGCATAAACTGTGCTGAAAATGTAACAGCAGCTTTATAAACAGACTGTCGGCTCGCCATCGACCAGTTCGGGTGCAGTAACGTTAAAGCTCGGGGTGAGCACACAATCCGCAAAGACTTCAATGACCACATGTCCCAAATTTAAATTATGCTGTAAGCTTCTCCTTTACTGTCAAAACACCCCTCTTTCAGAAAGAGGAGAGGAAGAGCGTTCTTCTTCCTGTATGTTTGCTAAAAGCACCACGCCGCCATCCATCGCCGTGGCGGTGAAAGCGGGGAACTATCCCGGAGGTGCTGGAAAAAACAACAGCTAGCAAGCTGAGCTGCTAGCACCAGCGAGGGCAATTTGTTAGCAGCAAGTGGTTAGTTGTATTAAACAGGTGTTGGATTGGATCGCTGCACACCAAACATTAAGTAAGTTGAACACCCTGGCAGTTTTAACACACGTTAGCAATGGATCGTGGTCGTATGAAGTTCAGCGTTTGCCAAGATGTAAACTTGCGATTGATACAGCTGGTTGTCAGCATGGCTAGTTTAGCTCACAAGCTAACAGCAGCCTAGCTTAGTTTGCTAACGTGTTTTAACAGCAAAAATCTTTTTGGTTTGTGGTCGGTGCTTATAAGTAAGCTTGTTGTCAGATACCAGTGTACTTCGTCAGCGATAGCGTGTCACGGTATTGAATGGTATATAGAAGGAAAAAACAACATCCAGCTTTAACTTTCTGCTGAGAAACGCTTGCTCCGCTAACTAACGTTAGCCAGATGACAAAGACATTCCATGCTAACGTTACAAGCGGTAACTGGTGGTTAGCCGGTAACGTTACATCTGAATTAACATTCACACTAATCATATATGGCAGGATATATTACACACTCCTTAATAAGAGCCATACATTTAAAGGCACACGCCATTTATTGTAAAGTATTGTTGTTTAAATATAACTTGGATCAGTAATAGGTATGCACGTAACTTTCTTTGCGCTTCTTGCTAAAGTATGTCTCTCCTAAGTTATGCTTGTAACGTTAAAGAGCTGGAGCCATTCTTGCTTATTTATTTTATATAAATGTCTTTTCAAGGGCTTCTATTAAACCCCATGGCGATGAGGGAGGCAATGGTCCATGAAGAGTTTTGGATACGCAGAGAGTGGCTTGTCCACCAGGGTCATCATCAGGTACTGCAGCACAGATAACACCTCCAAACAGGTGAGTTTTTAATTTATTTACTGAGGGTACTTGTTGCTGCTAAATCATCAACCCAGTCCAGGCTACTTCACTAGAATAGGTAACTGTTATGTGGACAAAACTTTCTCTGAACTGGGGCCAATCTAAATATGCTTATTTGGCCAAGGATCAGACTTGGCGTCTTGGCTCCTCGCCTTTTATAGTTTCCTAACAAAGTACAAGCTCTGATGACTGCCAGCTCCAGACACTAGTTGTGTATGTGTAGGTGTGTGCTTTTGGGGGGCGGTGGGGCTACAAAAGGTGACGGTAGAGTATTCCATAGAGACACTGGTTGGAGACAGCAGCTTCTATAAGGTAAACAGGATCTCCTCCTGAAGGTTAAGGGAGGCGCTTCTCAAGGCCCCCACAGACAATACTCTGGGTATTGTTAACGGAAATGGCTAAGAATAGAGAGCAGGGGAGAAAGGTGGCTCCTCTGGCGGTCCTGTTGTTTGGGTTAAACAAGCCAAAACGGAACATCATCTTTAGAAGAGTGACTCCTCAAGCTTACATGCTGGGCGTGTCACACTCGCACAAGGCTGGAGGTTGATTTGGAGGGCTTTATCTGGCTCTAATGTACAACAGCGGCAAATGAGTAGTTGGGGATCGCCTCTGAGTTATTGTGCTTTACTATTCGGATGTCTAAGTAGGACCACCTTTCAAGTGAGTTTAAAGCTTTATCTGTCCTTACACAAATGTTGTTCATGTGTTATTTTGTTTTTTTTTTAAGTTCAGTTATATTTCATACGAACAACTTGGAGTAATAACTGGCTCTTGCTGCCTGTGTGCTAGGTGCAGACGTGTTGTTGCATGGATATAAACAATATTTACTCCTGTCCTTTAAATGTCATGTTATTTCGCTTTATCAATATCAATATATAATACAATAATTGGAGGGAATGGTCATTTTTTTATGTATCTTTATGGTGTGATTTTGGTAAGGATCTGTACCAAACAAAGATGCTTTTGTAAGTCTGTAGAATATGATGTTAAAATGGTATTTTTACACACATTTTTCCTTTAACAAATTTTGCACCTCCTGCAATATGAAAATTGCAGTAGACCATATTGCAATTGCTATCAAATTTCAATTAATTGTTCAGTCCTATTAGCAGCATTACTCATTTTGGTCTAATACATCCAGCAATGTTAAAGGGGTAGATACTCTGATAGTTGGTAGAGTATTATATCGCCCACCTCCTAGCCCTAGTTAGTTGCGATGCATTTATGCAATGACCAATCTGTGTATTTATCGCATTGCTATTGTGTAACAATGCAATTTTACAGACTTTCTTTCAACTTTTTCTAATTGTATAGATACTTTATACAGTTTGAAGTACTCCGTTTAGGTGTCATAATCCGCATCAGAAGAGAAAATGTGGGGTCAGTGTGTTTCTACTAATTAGAGTGCCCTCCCACTGAAAATCAGATGCATAGGGTTTTCTTAATTAAGCAAATTTACTCATTTCTTATGTTTATAGGCCGCATACATTTTCAAGGCAGCTGTTTAATTTCCTCTGTGACATTTGGATTTTTTTCCCCACTTCTACTTCTTCATGGAGACAACCCATTCATTCTTCACATTAATCTTGTAGGGACTAAATTAAAATGGAGACAGATAAACTTTACATTCTATTGATGGCTGGTTTGCCATTTGGCCACAGCATTTGAAATGCTATGTTCAGTATGTCACCCAATTTGAAAGCAAGCTTAATTGTGTCTTTTTAACAATAGTAAAGGCAGGGATCCCTGTTTTGTTACTCGTGGCAGCCTTCAGATTAACTGTCTGGAATGTTCTGATGGATGACCTTGTTAGCATGTTAGTATTGATTTGTTGTCTTGGTATTGTGTTGTAGTTCAGGTAAAGGTTGCTCAGGCATTTGAGAGAAAGAGCTTTTCCTTTTTGATTTTGTAGAAAGCCATATCTGTAAGATTTTGATGTTTAACAAGACTATATAATTCACTACCACTGTACTCAATTATGATTGCGCCCTCAACCCTTTTTTCCCCCCACAGATAAACCATGATCCCCATCACCGAGCTGCGGTACTTTGTGGACACACAGCCAGCATACCGCATCCTGAAACCATGGTGGGATGTGTTCACAGACTACATCTCTATTGTTATGCTTATGATTTCTGTGTTTGGAGGGACACTTCAGGTCACCCAGGACAAGATGATTTGCCTGCCCTGCAAATGGGTGGTCAATCAGACCTGCAAGAAGAACTTCAATTCAACCCACACCACATCATTGTTCTTTGAGCCCAAAGGGATCCAGTATGATCTGGACCGCCACCAGTACAACTACGTGGATGCTGTGTGCTACGAAAACAGATTGCACTGGTTTGCCAAGTATTTTCCTTACCTAGTATTACTTCACACCCTTATTTTCCTAGCTTGCAGCAACTTTTGGTTTAAGTTCCCACGGACTAGTTCCAAACTAGAGCACTTTGTATCCATCCTGCTGAAATGCTTTGACTCCCCATGGACCACCAGGGCACTGTCAGAGACAGTGGTTGAAGAGAGTGACCCAAAACCAATGAAAATGAACGGCTCAATGGACCACAAAGAGTCTGTTATCAGTGAGGATGTTGAAGCAAGTGTTCCTATGCTCCAAAGGACAAAGACACGCTTTGAGCAGGGCATTGTAGATAGAACAGAAACAGGGGTTTTGGACAAAAAAGAGGGCGAACAGGCAAAAGCCTTGTTTGAAAAAGTGAAGAAGTTCCGTATACATGTTGAAGAAGGAGACATTGTGTACAGACTCTACATCCGTCAGACCATCATCAAAGTCATCAAGTTCGTTTTGATAATTTGCTACACAGGGTATTACGTGCACGACATTAAATTCAGTGTTGACTGTTCAGTAAATATAGAGAGTCTGACAGGTTACAGCGTGTACCGTTGTGCTCACCCATTGGCTACACTTTTTAAAATCTTAGCCTGTTTCTACATTAGCTTAGTAGTGGTGTATGGTTTGATCTGCATGTACACACTTTGCTGGATGCTTCGGCGCTCTCTAAAGAAGTACTCCTTTGAGTCAATACGGGAAGAGAGCAGCTACAGTGACATACCCGACGTAAAGAATGACTTTGCATTTATGATGCACATGATCGATCAGTATGACCCTCTGTACTCTAAACGCTTTGCCGTGTTCCTCTCGGAAGTAAGCGAAAATAAGCTGAGGCAGCTCAACCTCAACAATGAGTGGACATTGGACAAGCTCAGGCAGAGGATTACCAAGAACTCTCAGGAGAAGTTAGAGTTGCACCTTTTTATGCTGAGTGGCATTCCAGACACAGTATTTGACCTGATGGAGCTGGAGGTTCTTAAGTTAGAGCTTATTCCCGATATCACCATCCCCCCAATCATCGCCCAGCTGGTTAACTTGCGAGAGATGTGGCTTTACCACACACCAGCCAGAATCGAAGCTCCTGCATTGGCTTTTTTGCGTGAGAACTTGAAGTCTCTGCACATCAAGTTCACTGACATCAAAGAGATTCCCTTATGGATCTACAGTTTGAAGAATCTGAGTGAACTTCATCTGACGGGAAATCTCAGCGCTGAGAACAACCGTTACATTGTCATTGATGGGCTCCGGGAGCTCAAGAGGCTCAAAGTTCTTCGTCTGAAGAGCAATCTCACCAAGCTACCTCAGGTGGTGACTGATGTGGGCATGCACCTTCAGAAGCTATCCATCAATAATGAAGGCACCAAACTGATGGTGCTCAACAGCCTGAAGAAGATGGTGAACCTGACGGAACTGGAGCTAATTCGCTGTGATCTGGAACGCATCCCGCACTCAATCTTCAGCTTGCACAACTTGCAGGAGATTGATCTGAAGGACAACAACCTGAAGACCATCGAGGAGATCATCAGCTTCCAGCACCTTCATCGGCTGATCTGCCTTAAGCTCTGGTACAACCAGATAGCCTATATTCCCATCCAAATTGGCACACTGACCAACCTGGAGAAGCTCTACTTAAACAGAAACAAGATTGAGAAGATCCCCAGTCAGCTGTTTTATTGCCGCAAGCTGCGCTTCCTTGACCTGAGTCATAACAACCTAACCTGTATCCCTACGGACATTGGCTGCCTCCAGAATCTTCAGTACCTGGCAGTGACGGCGAACAGGGTGAGTGCTCGGATTATTCATTTTGTCTGTGTTGATTGTTCATTGCATTGTATATCGTTACAGTTTGCAACAACTTGTCTGCTGCAGGTAAAATTTATAAAAATTTAAATTTCTCTCCATTTCTCTCCCATCACAACATCCTCCCCACCTTCAAATAAAGATTGAGAGCCTGCCTAATGAGCTGTTTCAATGCAAGAAGCTTCGCACTTTGAACTTGGGGAACAATTGCCTGCAGTCGCTGCCGTCGCGGTTTGGAGAGCTGACCGGGCTAACACAGCTAGAGCTGAGAGGAAACCGTCTGGAGTGTCTGCCCGTGGAGCTGGGCGAGTGCCGACAGCTAAAGAGAACCGGTCTCGTGGTGGAGGAAGACCTCTTCAACACCCTTCCCACGGAGGTCAAAGAACAATTATGGAAAGTTGACAAAGAACAGGCTTAAACCGGTCTGTGGCTGTAAATGAAAACAGATACTTACCAACTGGGCCCTGACACTGTGTAGGAACACCTGTCCCAGTGGGCTTCCTAAAGCAGGCTGTAGTCTTGCTGCAGTGTACTGTAAGTAAGGTTGGGTATCGAGAACCAGTGCCAGTTTGGCAGAACCAAAATACTGCTAGCTGCTGGTTATTCTCTTAATTCTTAACTACATTCGATTTTCCTTCGTCTCCGACTTAGCAGGCATTATAACCAAGTAATTATGCTTTTTAACAATAATGTAGCAGTGCCATTATGCTCAGCTGCATGTGTTTACATTGTATGCTACGCAGTTATGTTGGAGAAGTTGCAAGTAAGCAAAACTGTGGGCCAACTTTGACAATGACAGAAAAAGACCAAGTTCCCATTGTTCAATTACTATAACATCAGGTTCCTATCTTATCAAGATATAGTACAATATAAAAATAATGTGTCTAGTATTGCTAGTTTTTTAAGTGAGATAGCAAGGTGATCTCTAAGACATCTCCCTTTATTACTTGCTCCACTTATTTTAAGTTGTATCAAACTCCCAATTCCATCATAACATGTTAAGGAGTTGACATCTGATTATATGACTAAATGTTATATTTGTATGTGTATATAGGGAATGACAATACTAATCACAAGCAAACTACACAGTCAACTTAGCATGTTTGTATCAGAATAGCGGCTGTTCCATGGCTTTGAACTCCCTGTTGTCCAGCACTGACCTGACATAAATTGTAACTCTGGTGGTCATTGTTTTTTTGCTGTAGAGGGATGACCATGGCCTTCAAATACACATACGTGCTGGAAAATCTTGAAAGTGACATAACAAGGATAACTAGTGATGACTCATGCCAAGAAAGGTTATGGAGTCTGAGAGGGTGTTGTATAAGGTGTAAGGGAGGGGGTCACTGAGTACATTGCACTGTTAGTAGAGCAAATGCTGTAGAGGCAGAGGAGTTGTCTTTGGTTGGCCTGAGTCTTGGAAGCAGTACAGCATGGGGTATTAGACTAGAGAGTGATGTCCTTCATTGGAGCCATTTTGGCAGAGTGGGGGGCAGGGGTAGATGGCGTCTCTGGGGAAAGATGTGCAGTGTGTTTGACCTAGTGCTTAAGGAAAAGCAATGATTTTACTGCTACCCAGTGGACTAGTATTACAAAACATCACCCCCATACAATTACATTTGTGGAACATCTTATCAACAAGCAGATACCCAACCCTTACTGCCAGTATACTATTCAGTATTAATAAAACAAACTGAACAAATCTGGGGAAAATGCTGAAAAGGTTTTGAACGAGGTGTGTCATGTCTGTGTCAGTATTCAAATTTAGTTCGTACAGGATAACAACATTTAAATGGAGCCTCCAGAGGTTGATCATATGTCCGAAACAAACGCAAGTCTTTAAATGTGTTTTGTAAGCGCCTGGCCTAGTGTTCGTTTCAGTTTATCATAACATTGTAAGATTAGTATGTTTCTACCTTGATAGGGTAGTATGAGATAAACAGCCATCTTTAAACAAAAAATGTTGAAATTGCTATATTAGATTCATTAAGGTGTCATTTTAATTTTGTTTATTTTATGTAAAAACAACAAAAAAACCATTGCAATAAGGTCTGAAATTGCCATTTCATTGTAGTGAAATTTGAATGTATAGCTTTTTAAAAAAGCTCAAAGCATTTTTATTTTTTTTTAAACATGAAACGTTCCACTTACTGAAAAGAAAAATTGTAATTTCATTTGTCATTGGGGGGGGGGGGGGATTAGGGTGCATTTTTGAAAAGAACCATGGTTTTCAGGTCAGTTGCCTTAATGTTAATTCACTCCTCCTGTGGTATGTCATAGCCCTACGTGATAATGGGAGTAACACTTTGATATGTTTTAGATTTTGCTCCAATGTTTCATTTCATCACTTCCTGGTGACCTTTTACAAGTGACCACACTTGACACCAGTGTTAAATTTGGGGTCTCAGATGTGATCATGACCCATTATTTTGTGTTGTAGCGTCACCTTGTGACATTGGCTTTGCAAACTTTATTTTTACATGAAGGTCTGCCTTAATGCAGCTTCAACTCTCCTAACCGGTGTGACTTGCGCACTGCTGACGACTACTATAGAGTGTAAAAGTCAGAAGGCATGAACAATAACAATGACAATTTCCAGTAAAATTTCTTATTTGTAAAAGTGATCTAGAACTTAAGCATTTGGGATTAGATTTGGATAACTGCTCATTTTGGGAATGGATGTCCATCCATCCATCCATCCATCGGCAACCGCTTATCCTGCGTACAGGGTCACGGGGGGCTGTAGCCAATCCCGGCTGACATCGGGCGAAAGGCGGGGTACATCCTGGACAGGTCGCCAGTCCATCGTAGGGCGGGAATGGATATGGTGGTGGTTTTTAATTGTGGATATTGGATTTTTTGAGAGAGTCAAAATAAGTGATATCTTCAATTAACAAAACTTCATCTGTGAGTTGGTAAAACTTTGACTTGACATATTTTTTGTCTTAGTTTCTCATAATTTTGGATTAGTGTCATATTTTGTCACAATTATGGCTTGATTTCATAATTGTGGGAGACTTAAGGAGAATTTATATTTTTATCATTCTTAATGTCTTTTTTTTTATTGTCATAAATGGGCTTCCATACTTTTCAGGTCAGGTCATGTAATTGTGGTCATTTATTTTTCTGGTTTCAAAGTGTGTTCATTTGTAGAGAAATGTTTAATAATTTTTGCCTTAGTGACTTTTCTGCACTTGTGTTTTGCCACAGTAAGTAAGCCGGACAATGCTGTAAATGTGGAATTGAAGATCAATGCACAGCTCTGACACAGCACAACACACAATAGGGTCTCTTGTGTTTACCCTGAGAAACAAAAATCAGTTTATGTTTTAATAAACCTAACTGCAAAGAAAACCTGGACAGTAGCAATATACAGTACAGTAACTGGGTTGAAAAGCATAGGAATAGTTTAAGCTATGTACATTCATGTCCGTAACATGTTTAACTATGCTATATTGTGCAATATTGCCTTTATTTAAACTATGTAAGTAGTAGTGATGTAGTTTTCTAATTTGCATGGGCATTCTTCTTGTCACATTCATTTTAGTGTGATGGAAGTAAAATTTACATAAATGCAAATAATGGTATGCAACTTCACGTATACAACAAGTTTTGTATTTTTACTGGGATGGGAAGTTTCAACAGAATGACTTCGAGGCATGAGATTAAAACGCTGTTAAAGTAGTGTTACGTTTTTCTTTGTTTGAGAACTACTCAGAAAAACTAATTCATTTTTGATCCTTTTATGTCCCAACTGGAGCATTTTAAATGGCATCCAGAACACATCAGCAATATACACCACAGATTAAGACAATCAGCTATTCTAATGAAGAGTGACATCAGATATCAAATATAAAGTTGTTGCAGTAAGCACTGCAAGTAAATGGTCAGTACACTTAAAATATATTGTATAGGTTACTAGTAAAGTGGTATCAGTAAATAGGTTAGCTTTTTATCTCATAGTTATTGTTAATCTTTTTGTTCTCTGTATTTTCCCTCCTTTTTCATAATTTGGACTGATTTTGTTTTTGACAGCTATTAGTATTATTACAATATAGCTAAATTTCTCAGGAAACCTGCTAGTACTCACTTCTTTTTTGAGTTGCCTATTTTTTTATTACACCTTGTATGTATTAATTTAAACAGTTTTATACAGTTACAGTTTTATATGCATTTCTATACATTATTTTCTAGTTTGGTGTATTTAATATTGACTGCTGGTTTTAAAACAAAATCTGTTTTGTGTTTTTAAAAAAAAAACCACTTGGTTTAACCTTGATCCTGTGTTTTCGTCAATGGCCATGCTTAAATTGAGCTGTATTGTTTCAGAATTGTGTCCTCATTGTGGTTAGCACAGATAAAGTGTTATCCACATGTATGTATGATGGCATGATGAGACTTTCTTACTCCTTGATGTCATTTTTGTTCTTTCTCTCAAAATAATTTTTCCCCTCAACATTTCCCAAAATCCAATCATAGATGTACAAATTTGGCTTCATGCATTGTTTGTTTTTTTGTTAATAAGAAAATCATCATCGCATCAGTATTGGCATGAATGATGCAGCAGTGTGTATTCTGTTTGCACATGTTTCCCATCTTCTCCTACACACACAATCCACTGGAGGTAAAATAAAGTCGTTTGAACAAATTTGACTTGGTTTCTGTTGGGTAAGGGTTTGAATGTTGTGAACATTTCAGTTCTCTCTAGTATTTTGGTATTGGGTAGAGAATCTGTTTACTGCCCAGGTACCATAGTGGATATTAGTCAGTGTGATAAATCAAAATACTATTCAGACGTTATTTAGAAGGAACTGGAGAACACCTGACAAAGACATGCTCACACTTTTATTGCTCCAGCAAGCAAAACCAGGGTCTCTGTAGTTATTGGACAGTCTTTCTAAACACAAGGCCACTTACAGTTAAACTACAGTTGCCAAAGTCTATGTTAATACAAAACTGGATTATCTCCTGAAAATTATAAACCATAATTAACACAATAGAGCTGACATGATGAGGGCCTTATGGGACATCCTGCTTTATTAACTGATTTTTAGGCCCTGTCTTGAAGATGGTCCCTGTGACAAAATCTAGTTTTTATTAAGACATTCATTATCTGTTTTGAGCTTATAGGCCTTTGTTTTTGGTGCCAAAATTAATGTATTTATTTACTCAATAACAAATTGGTAATCCTCATAGAAAAACTGTAACGAATGCACAGCAAATGGAGAAGTTAGGTGGATAATAAGGGCCCAGAAGTTTTGTCCTAGGGGCCCAATACCAGGTTAATCCTGCCATGTCTTCAAGTGTACACTGCTTCACACATTTATAATATTTGCAAATAGCTCAATGATTGGCTCATTATAATAGTAACAAATGTATAGACCTAGAGCATGTGAATGATAGTCAATTCCTTGCGGAACCTTTCAGCGCTGGGCTACTGCACGTAGACGGACATGTTTCACCGACACACTTGTTCGTAGACGCAACGTTTGAAATGGTAAATTTTATTGTAAAATATTCCAGTGGGTAGCTGTCAACGTGAAACTAACAAAACAGTTTCAGAAGCTATTAACTAATAAGATGGTTTAACGCAGATAAGTTTGCTACTAGTCAGTCCAGAAACGTCCCTTTTGTAGTGAGAACTAACACTCGTTTTGCAGCCTCAGTAGCGTTAACAAGCTAAGCTAACGTCGGCTAACAGGCAGTAATGAATGGCTGTTCCTGCGCCTCTTAAAAGTTAACGTTAAATGATTTTCTTTCTTTTCTCAATTTCATAGGCGGTTACCCTCCACACAGATCTAGGTGAAATTAAAATTGAATTGTTTTGTGAGCGCACACCGAAAACATGTGAGGTAAGTCAACTACAGTAAAGTAAAGTTACACGCTCCAGCTCTTCCAAAGACTTCAGACCTGCTAGAGATACGTTAAAGTGGTGTTCTGTGTCATTGTATTATTATAGATTACAGATACTTGCTTTTTGTTTGTGTTGTGTTTTCTTCAGATTTCATGTGAACAAAGTCATGGAGTATATTTTTTACTGTTCACAGAATTTTCTTGCCTTGTGTGCCAGTGGGTTCTACAACGGCTGCATATTCCACAGAAATATTAAAGGTTTCATGGTTCAAACTGGAGACCCGACAGGTAAATTACAGGATTGTTGTTGCATTTCAATACTAAAATGTCAGAATTCACATCCTCACTTCCTGTCTATGGTTTCCTATGTTTGGCTTCACCGCTCAGGCACAGGCAAAGGTGGAACAAGTATATGGGGTCGCAAATTTGAAGATGAGTATAGTGAACACCTAAAAGTGAGTATCTACTAACTCCAGCTTGTTTGTCTATGTCAGGAAGAAGCATTACCTAATATTTCAGGAGTCCGTCTTTTAACATTGTCACTTTTGTGTTCTTTCCTCATTCTTTTCTTTCAGCATAATGTAAGAGGAGTGGTCTCAATGGCAAACAATGGCCCAAACACAAACGGCTCCCAGTTTTTCTTCACATATGCCAAACAGCCCCATCTGGACATGAAATACACAGTGTTTGGAAAGTACGCAACCTTTTATACCAGTAAATGGGTGTAACAAGGAGAGGATATAAGAGAGGGAGACACACACACAATGAAAATGTTTTGGCTCTACAGACAGCCAGTTAGTGTGCTTAGCAGTTATTGATTAAAATATAATTTATGATTGCAGCTGACATCTTGCTCTATTCAAAATGTAGGATTATCGATGGCCTGGAAACACTGGATGAACTGGAGAAACTGCCCGTCAATGAAAAGACGTTCCGACCACTGACTGAAACTCGGATAAAGGATGTCACCATTCATGCCAATCCTTTTGCGGGATAGGCCACTTTCTCTTCAAATATGCAGATAGGCCTTTAACAGATGTGGACTGTTCATCATGCCAGCTTATACAGTGTGCAGTGTACCTTTCCGACATTACACTGGATAACTTGTCAGAGGCTAGAAATTGGAGAGAAATGCAACGACCAGGATCCTGACAGAGGTCATTTGGGGAGAAATTACCTTATGGTTTAAATAAGTCAACCCATTCATTGCTGACCATGGATTAGTGCCAGATATTGCATGCCAGAGCTAATGTCAGGTGTATGCTTTCTCCACTTTCTAGCTACGTGGTTATGAATTTTAAGAAATGGTTTGCATCTCCTTCAAAACCATATTGATGTGACAAAACTTTTGTAATGATGAAGTTTAGGTATATTCTTAACATATTGCTCTTCATGCATTCACAATTTGGTCCAAAAACAAAACACTGCTTACTTTGTACAGCACTGCTATTATTTTTTTTCTTTCCTGATAGATTCTGTAAATAAATTGCCAATGTTTTGTACTGAATAAAATTTGTACAAATAATGTGTTCAGTTTTTAAAGCATGATTTCAAAACATCTGCGTGCAAAAATCAGCATTTTCAAATGTCTTCATTGAAAGAGGCAAGATCCTGAAGGCGTAGGAAAGGAGCAGTGTTGTAGCCGTAAATGAACTACAAGTCGCTCGGTCAGCTGCCGGCGCTTCATACTGCGTCATCACTAGTAGACGAAGCATATCGCACTGGATCTAGTAAGTTTATGCAAAGTACATGCACAGAAATTATGGCCACAGACGATGCATTTAAAGTAAGTTTACCTTTTTCCACGTGGTTCACCAGTTTTATACTTTCTGTATAGTATGAAGATGTTGACACTTTATGGGAAGGTCCTGTGTGGCCTTTTCATAGACACGTATGTATGTGTATTTTAGGTGTCTTCACTTAAGGCGAAAGTGACCCTGATAACGGGTGCCAGCTCGGGCATCGGTGCAGGCACGAGCGTCCTGTTCGCCAAACTCGGAGCCCTGCTGGCGCTGAACGGCCGAGACGTGGAAAACCTCAAGAAAATAGCCAAAGAGTGCACCGACTGTGGAGCTGCCGAGGTAACTGTCATACTGAGCGGGACACTATGTGATTTAGATAATGTTTAACTGGAGTGCCGACATGTTGACGCTGTGCACGTATCGCTGTTTTCACTATTAATGTGTTTTTTTGAATGGAGTTTGGCCGTGACATCCTGTTAGCTGTGTGTCAGTTGTTTAAATACGTTAACCTAAAATGACCAGAGCCTGACACATCGAGTTGACAGGTGCCCTAATGCGTTGTGAGATGAGCACAAAGCATATTGTTAACATGTTTTTAAATGTAGGTGTATTTAGGAACACTGTGCCTCAGGGTAAACACTGTATATATGTAGACTATATAAAGCAGACATTTTTTTCTAGCACATTCAAATACATTTATTGGCTACTGTATCACCCCAACATTGCAGTCTTTAACAAAGTGATTTCTTCTGTATTGTGTATGTTTTGGAAAGCTGCGCAAAAATGCCTTTTAAGTCAGAACATAATGAATGTCTCCATGTCCAGCCGTTGCTTGTTCCCGGAGACCTTACAGACGAGGAGACGGTGAAGAAGACAGTGGAGCAAACTATCGCTCACTTCGGCCGGCTGGACGTGCTGGTTAACAGTGCTGGTATCTTGGCCATGGGCAGCATCGAGACAACAGACCTGGCTCAGTATGACAAGGTCATGAACATCAATGTCAGGTAGGATTTCAACACCATAGAGACATTGCTGAGTGCACAGTGTACAGCAGCTGGGAGCCAGATGAGATGCTCTTAAATGTTTGGCTTTGAAGTGATGTGAGATGAATTAAAAAGGACTTATAAATATATTCAAAACATTTTAGTAAACAGCATCTGGATAAAAACTGAAAATGGCAATTGTATTTTAAGATTATGTTAATAAATATTTTGAGTGGCAAGTTAATGGAAAAGTAATTGGGTGAAAATGAAGAAAAGACCATTTTACAAAAAAAGGAGTAGTGTCTGCTGTTGTGTGAATCTTACTGGATGCACAGTATGTGTATGCTCAACTGAATGAAGTTGTGACTATTTTAACACTGTATGGTTACACTATACATGTCTGCATGTATGTGTAGAGGCAAGACTGCAAGTCACTCATATAGACTGATTTTCAAAGACATGGTGTCCAGTTGAAGTGGAATTGGTAGTTGTGTAGTTCTTCCAATCACATAGGAGAGGCTATTGCATTCACGGTTACATTTTTATTTTACATTTGAGCCGCAAACACATGTGAACGTTAATAGAGAATTCCAGTTCAGATGTGAAAATGATGTTGTGCTCACCCACAGATGTCACTATAAAGGACATCAGGCCCCGCTATCATAAATCCACCGGGGGGAAAAAAAGATCAATTGCACTATTCACCAGCCAGCCAATCTAAATGTAAATGCTGTAGGTGTGATACTGCTGTTATCGTGCTGGTGAACCCCATCACAGATGTTCCGATGTAATTGTCCTTTACAGCCTTGAGAAGACACAAGACCAGTAGTACTTACTCCCCAACTTGATTTTTAGTGTTATATTTCCAGTAATTACAGTTGGCACGTCCCCTAACCTTTGTTTCATATTCCAGATCTGTGTACCACCTGACTCAACTCTGTGTGCCCCACCTGATCAAGTCCAAAGGCTCCATCGTCAATGTGTCCAGTGTCAATGGACAGAGATCAGTGGGTATTTAGCGGCTAGCCACATATTTTCCACTATATGTCTTTGTGTCTTTTAAGAGTTGTGATGCACAGTTTTCTCTCTGTAGTTCCCTGGCGTGCTGGCTTATTGCATGTCCAAGTCCGCCATTGATCAGTTCACACGTTGCATAGCACTTGGTGAGTGAGCCATTTTTGTCTTTATGCTGTATGATCAGCAGTGTAGAAGTTCACAATATGAAGAACGGGACTCTTCTTTTTCAGAACTGGCATGTAAGCAAGTCAGAGTGAACTCTGTCTGGTAAGTGTTTTAATGACAAATGAATACCTTTTTTATTGTGTTCAGTAATTGATCTCAGTCATATTTTGGATACACACAATAAGTTAATGCAGACCCTATGAATGTCTCATTTAAAACAATTACTATCAGTTGTTTCTGTTGGAAATGACTATTTGTGATGTACCATATTTTGTATCGTTGCTCCGGCTGCATCTCTTCAGCCCTGGCGTGATCATCACTGATGTCCACAAGAGAGCAGGACTAAACGATGACCAGTATGCCGAGGTAATGCATGTCAGTACTGTATGTTGCCACTAAAACTGAGGAGGTTCTGTACACAACTGGTGGACTCTCTTTTTCCATCTTTCATATCCTGGCATCTAATAGCACAGAAGACAGCAATGCATTTAAGTAGCACTTTGAACCATGTATTGGTGATTGAAAGTAGCCTTATACATCTTTTTTGTTCAGTTTTCGCCTGGCATGTTCTGTAAGTCATCACATACCAACCCCCCCCCTAAATGTTTCTGTCTACCATTAAATAAAGGCCTCAATACCCAAAAAAATATCTTTTAAGTAAATACATGTACATCCTCATTCTGTCAATCATTTTCACCACCAGTTTCTTGCAAAATGCAAGCAGACCCATGCTCTCGGTCGACCAGGGGAGGTGGAGGAAGTGGCCCACAGCATCGCCTTCCTGGCGTCCGATGCCGCCAGCTTCATTACGGGAGTCAACCTACCCATTGATGGGGGCCGCCATGCCATGTGCCCAAGATAAGATCATGTATGTTAAGATTAAATTTCCAGTCTGTTAATATAGTGATTTGTACCTCTAAGTCTGCCTGTGTTTTATATCAAATAAGGCTGCAGTTAAAACTAATCGAGGGGTGTTAAGAAGAAAAAGAAGCCATTACTTCAAGGACACAATTTTTTCCATGTTTACAGTGGCAGTAGCTGTCAGGCTCTGACAGTTGTGGAATTACTAGAAGTAAGCTAAAATGTGCCACCACAAGCAGGCAGTTTAAATGCATTTTTCTCTGACTTTGCTATGAAGTTTAAAAAAAAAACATGAAAGCAACAAAGGTTTCAGACTTTTATTGAATTACTTGTTGAGTCATTAGACTTCATTTACGCAGCATAAAATGTCAGTACAGACCAAACACTGTAAGCTCATGTACCGTGGTAGTTTAATGTTGTGTATTGTAAGAAATCCTCTGAGTTTATAGATTGGCAAGACCAACCTTGCTGCACCTTGAGTGACAAATCCATGAACAGGGAAGAAAGCGCGGGGGTTGTAATGTCCTAAAATACAAGACAAGACAGCTTAAAGAAGAAGAAAAAACAGACTGTAGAATCCTTAAAGCTCCAAATTACCAAAAATATTATAAGATGTGACGTTGACCTGGCTTTGAACTTGAAAGCTAATCAGAATTTAAATAAAAATTAAATAGAATCCACTGTAGATAATAAAGGTTGCATAATTATAGACATTTACATTTAGAAAAAAAAACTTAATTTATAGTGTCAGACTCAGTGTCAGATATTGAAAACGTTAAAATACTACCATGAAAATATAATTTAATGAATTTGGCCTGCATATATAGTTTACTTCCCTTTTTCATAAGAACAGACATTGCTTTGCTGACAAGAGTTTATAACACGAGTGTCAACTGTTGCAGCACCAGGTGTCACCTCTGTTTCATCCCAGATCATATCACGTAACGGCTGTGAGATGAGAGGTACAGTACGAGGTAGCATCTCGACACACTTTTCTCGGTTCACACTGTGGAAAGCTTCGGTCCATTTTTAACATGGAAAGTACCACACAGCAGTTGTTTGTGTGAAGATATCTGTATAAACGCGGGGTCTCTCAGCACAGGACAGTTAGAGGCTCACGGAGACTTGCCTGGAGACAGAATGCTTGTGTGTCTGTGGCACGCTGTATACCTGAATGAGTGATATGATGGTGATACTGTATATGCCTAAAGGCTGTGAAACAATAACTATTGCACATTATGTTACAATATACAGTACATATACATGTATAAATAATAAAACATTAAAATAGGAATTATTGCAGATGTAACATATTCTATATTTCTGTACAGATCTCTTTTAAAAAAAACGTTTTAGGTTTTTGCTAAATTAGGTATCAGACCGTGAAGAAACTATGATACAACATGGTCCGAGACTTGACAGAACAAGACGTTCATATTACTTCCTTCCAAAAAGGGGCCTTCAGGTCTTGTATCACACAAACAAGTCTCTGAAAAAGAAGCTTATTATTATTGTTTTCCATAGGCTGATTAGTGCTAGAAGTCTCTGCATTTTCAATGGGCCTCCTTTCTCTGGTGCCCCCTCCTGTTTCTGCAGTCCAAGCATGTTTTGTCCAGAAAAAATGGGGGTCTCTTGTTCTGGAAACCACAGAAGCATTAGTCTCCCCCGTCCACCCTCCACCATGCAGTCACTACCTTTTAGTAGAGTATTCCCGGCTCCCTCCACAAGGCCCTATAAGAAACACACGGGTCCAACCTCGAGGTGATAGTGGGCGCCAGGTTCTGTGGAATGTAGGTTGTACACATCCACTATGGGGAGTAAGTTCGGGTCCTGGGACTGGAAGATGAAGTGGGTCTGATGCCAGCGGCCATCTTTGATCTGAAAGTAAAAGTTACATTATGTCCCATAATGTGAAAGACAAAATAAAATCAAAGGGTCCATTCTCTCACTTACCTCTTGTGGAATCTAGCTCCGCAGACAGTTTTGATGTTTGGCGCTGGTTTTGAATACAATGGAGGCTAATATGGAATATGATTTGTTTTACATTTAAAAAATTAATCAGTGACTTGTCTTTCCACAAACAATGTCCCAGTCACTCTGAACAGACTATTGTGTAACTTCTCTGTTTGAAACTACTTTCTACCAAACACGTTGACATTGAGGTCTGTGGATTAGACAAGGTAACAAGGACGCTGCAGTGTGCTCGTCAAACTAAATTCCAGTCATCTACAATGTATTGAGTTGCAGGCAGAAGTATTAGAAACATATGTTTCAAAACCTGGACAAGTGAAACAAACTATCTGCATAAACAAACATAAAAAAAAATGGGGGATGTATGGAGGTAGCACAAGAAGGCCATTAAAGAACAGTTAGCCTGTTTTTACAGTGCGTTGCATGCTCCACAAAGTCTCTATGTCTGGCAAACCAATAGTTTTAACACAGGTGCCCTGTGGAGTTGTCTCACACAGACACAAGGGTGGTGTCGATCTTCAGATCATCTTTCCCAAAATACGTTTAGGACCAAAGGGTTGAGTTTTGCATAAACTTTCTTTGAAGTTCTACTGTGAACCTATGCCAGCAAAAAATAAAAATAAATAGAAACCGTGCATACCCAGCAGTCGTCTCTGGGTATGAGCGGCTCCAGGAGGTCGCCTGCTTGAATCTTCTCCCCCGTCCAGGCCTTGAAGCTCACAGCCCAGGATGAAGGTTGCAAGGAGGGTCCTGCTGCCCACACCGGTGTGTTGAGGCAGTGAATAGTGATGTGCTGCACTGCCTCAGTGCTCAAAAGGTGGACGAAGTTCATCTGAATACGACCCACTCCTATCTCCAACTATAAAGCAAATGTATTTTTGATTGATACATTTGAGTGGATGAAGAATTTGTATTTCTCAAATAATTATAATTTAGAAAATAGGCCTATTTTAATGACAGTTTCTTCACAAACATTTCTGATGCAAACATTAAGAGCTGGACATGACAACTGTTGGTGTATTAGTCTCTGTAATAGAAGAACTTGAGCATAGCGCTGGACGATTAATTGAAAAGCAATCAAAACCGAAATTCAAAACCTCTAACCAGCATAATTTTCCCATGTAAGTTAGTTAATTTTTTTAATCCTGTTAATACTTTCCCCACTGTGAGTGTTCATGTAGGGGAGAGCGGGGGAGAAAGTACCGTTTTTCAGAAAAACCTGATTTGAAAAGATGTTGTTTCAGACAGAGATATATTTTTGCTGTGGTCACTAACTCACAGGTGTGGTGTATCAATATCAGGTGGTACTTTGTACAAATGTAGAACGACTTCTGTATAATTTCACTTTAAACATAATTTAGAAAGATAAGGCAAAAATGAAAATAAACAATAAAATTAAGATAAAAATTAAAAAGCTATTTACAGAATAGGCCTATACAAATTTAACATTTTGAAATGAATTTAAATTTGTTTTAGTAAGAACAGTATGAGTGATCTGCATTTTGAGTGCTTTTTACTGACACCTACTACACTGACCTCCTTAGGAGACAGGCCAAAATAGATGTCAGCTGCTTTCTTAATATAAGCATACAGCTTCCTCTCCTAGTCCAAGGAGAAGACTTAATAATGTTATCTGTACATATGGTCTAGTCTTCTCCCCAATTATCTCTGCCCTCCCACATTATCTGAACAAAGCGCAGGGCATATGCCATGCCACTTTATCAGCTGACCTGAAACTAATGTTTCTAATAGAGATGTCCAGAAACGCCTTCTCAAACATCTGGCTGATTCAGACCTCTGTCTTTCTGAACCCACGCTATTGGCATATTCTGTTGGTATAATATGACAAACATGTTTTAATAAATGCTGCAACACACAGAGAAAGTCACCACATTAGCAGCGGGACAAAAGAAACACTTGTGGTCAGGTGTAGCAGGACGAAAGTAACATTACATATTTACATTGACATCTAAACACGATTTATTTTTATACTGAAAAACTCTGACAGCAAACTTCAGGGTGTGTTAAAGCAATAAATGACCTGTAGATTAATCATTACTGTGACACATGAAACGAGAGACACAACTTGTAATTCGAAAAAGAGTCGCTCTTCAGAAATTTACTTGCAGTGCTCGAAAACAGTTTTCCGAAGACGGCCGCAGGAAACGATGACATCATGCGATATTTGGCAGCTCCATCAAGGGTTTCGTGCTGAAGGTGCTGTCACAGCTTGGACTGCAAATGCAGTCAGGGCTCTGAGAAAAGCGCCTTGTTACTTTCGTCCCGTGTTACTTTTGCCCTGGTTTACCCCTACTTTCCCCTTAAAAACATGCTACTGCATGTTGTACACACAAGAGATGCTCACAAGTCTTTGAGCTAGAGTCCAAGTCAAGTCTCAAGTCTCTTGTGGTTATTGCGAATGTTGTATCACCTGCTGCGTTCAATCCAGGTTGCTAATAAAACTTCATAGCTATAAGGAATACTGTTAACCTGTTTTTCATTTACAGAGCACAACCATGTAATGTGCAATGCAGTTAATGACAGCTTATAAACTACTGTAAGTCAAACCACCCTGCAGACTCTCAAACCAGTGCAATGTTAGACTATAACTAAATAAAACTATAAAGCTACATGATCAACAATAAACCTGTAACCTCTTTCCAGCCAACGGCAATAATTAACATGATGGCAGCCAGCGGGACGTAAATCATTACAATAATCGACCACCACAAGTTTGGCAAGTAAACAAACTCTCATTCATCTTTTCATAACGAACGACAGTCGAAGTAAACCTCTCGTAGGTCGTAGCTGAAGCAAGAAGCAAACGTTAGATGGCCAATGCTGAGCTAAACATGTTCACTCACCAAATATTTGCATTCAGCGCTTCTTTGTTTGGGTCTTGTATGAAGTTTTATAGCCAAAGTTTATGATGAATGGCGGAGCAGCTGCTGGCGTTTGTTGTCCTCTCTCACGTGCCGCCGCGCACAGCAGATGTTACGTGTTACATAGGCAGGTTATAGGTAACGGAGGGAGGGGAATAACGGCAAGCTCATCAGACTTGTCCTAAAAAATAAACAGTGTTCACGAGTCCAGCACCTCGAGTCCGAGTCGAGTCTGAAGTCTTTTGAGGACGAGTCTCAAGTCGAGTCTGAAGTCACTGTGCGTGCAACATAAGTTGCACTCGAGTCCGAGTGTCTAACTCGAGTCCCCATCTCTGGTGCACACTCACCCACACACTCACTACGCACACACATTGCACTGCCCTTAAAATACCTAGTTTTGCTACTCTTACAACAGCACCTGTCACTTAGATATCTCTTGAAGAATGAG